CAAAGTATTATTTCTTGAATTGTAAGTTTATATAATTTAATTTCTTTTTTTAAAGATTTTATTTATTTATTTGAGAGAGACTGAGAGAGAATGAGAGAGTAAGCACAAGCAGTATGGAGGGACAGAGAGAGAAGCAGAGTCTCTGCTGAGCAGGGAGCCTGATGCGAGTCTCAATCCCAGGACCCCGGGATCTTGACCTGAGCTGAAGGCAGACACTTACCTGACTAAACCACTCAGGTGCCCCTATAATTTTATTTCTAGTAACAGCTGTATTTAACAACTGGTTCATGGATTTCTGGAAGATTCAGCTCTCGTTAGCCAGTACAAGCCAGCTCCAGCACAGTTCTCATTACCTTTCAACTAAAATATTAACATTATATAACTTTTCCTTAATTCATTTTTTATTTAAAAGGCCCTTCATCCAATCATTCACTCATTCAACCAGTGGTCAATTGCCAAACTGCCAAATAAATACCATCAATATCAAAATTGCACCGTGCAGTTAGGTCTCTAAAAGGAAGTGACAGATGATGTCATAGAGATAGTGCTGTGGAGGGCCATGTGTAGGAGGTCAGGAAGTGACACGGGGAGAGCCTACCTTAGGTTCAGGTCAGGAAAAGCTTCTTCTGAGGAGGTGACAGAAACTGAGACCCAAAAGATAAGAAGGGACCAGTCACGAAAAAATCAGTGGGAAAACCGTACAAAGGATCTGTTCACTGGGATGCTGTATCTATGAATTTTGCAAACATGCAAAACTGTCATACATTGTTTCTAGAAAACTCTTTGTGTAGTAAAAATGAGAAGGCTCCCTACCAGCTTCAAGACGGTGGTTAGCCTTGGAGAAGGGTGAAGTTGGAGGCAGAGAAGGTCTTCAGCTATATCAAGGTGTTTTCTAGAAGCAAGCATGGTGGGGGACACGTGGCCGGAGGTAATTTTTGTTGGTTCTAGCTAATGAGTACATGATTGTCAGTCACATTATTCATCATTTCTGGATGCGTGAAAAATTTCAGGACTATTAAGTTTTTAAGAGTGGGGCAAAAGGGTAGGAGGCTGTGAACCCTACCAGTGTAAAGACTCACTGTCAGGTCCTTGTGGCTGCAGCACATGAAGGGGAAGAGGAGGTTCAAGGTGGGAAGGGAGGCAGGCGTGGGCCTTTGAAGGCTGTGACCACGAGTGCAGACTTTATTGTAAGTGCTGCTGCTGATCCTTGGTGAGTGACCTGAGGTGCTTTACATGGAAAAAGATGACAGTGGCTGCTCTGAGGAAAACTGGTGGAGACTCAAGAGTGCCATCAGGGGGCAGCCCGGGTGGCTCAAAGGTTTAACGCCACCTTCAGCCCAGGGTGCGATCCTGGGGTCCCACATCAGGCTCCCTGAATGGAGCCTGCTTCTCCCTTTGCCTGTGTCTCTCTCTCTCTCTCTCTCTCTCTGTGCGTGTGTGTGTGTGTCTCATGAATAAATAAATAAAATCTTAAAAAAAAAAGCACCATCAGGGAGGGGAGTTAGGGTCTCCTGTAGTTGTCTGGAAGAGAGCTAACGGCTCAGACCAGCATGGAAGCAGAGGACGAAGTCGAACGAGAGGAGCAGTTTTGACATCTGATGGCAGGACTTGTTGAGAGATTGGATGGGGAGGTGTTGAGAGAGCATGGGATGAAGAATGACTTTCTTTTTGTTGTTGTTGTTGTTGTTGTTGTTTTTGTTTTGTTTTTAAACAGGCTTTTCAGGATATAATTCATGTACCATACAGTTCACCCATGTGAAGTATACCATTCACACTGGTTTTTGGTTGTAGGGATGGATTTCTTTTTGAAACCTGAGTGGATGGTGGTTTCAGATCCTGCAAAGAGGAAAGTAGGAGAGGAACGGGCTTGGGGGTGGGACCTGGAGGGAGGGTACTTTGGGGGAGGTGAGTTTGAGGTGCTCATGAGACACCCAGGGAAGGGAAGTCTTGTGGGAAGTCAGATGTTCACACCTGGGGCTTGAGGTGAAAATTGTGAGTAATGAATAAGTTGAGAGTCTGGAGATGTGAATATCCAGAGAAAGAGAATAGGTAGAGAAGGTGTGTGGAGGGGGCAGGGGAGCTTCTAGTTCAGATGCATTGAAAGTTCATGCTTTGTTCTACCCCCCACCCTTTTCCCCCACAATGTTACAGTGAGAGTGAGAAAAAAAAAAGAGCCTTCCTCGACCCCCAAGACCAAAACTCCAAAACAAATGAAGACAATGTTCAAAATATGGCCTCTGAATATCACTGACAAATGAATTCCCCCAAAATGAAAATTATATTCTGAAAATGAATTTAAAATAACTCTTTAGGATTCCTATCAGGAATAGGTTTAACTGTGAATAACTGAGATTCTAAATAACAGTGGCTCAAGCTAAATAGGACTTAAGTTTTCTATTATGAATACATTCTAGGACTGATGTGGTGGCTCTGCCTTCAGGGAACCAAGTTTGACCCCAGCTCATCACTATCTCAGTGCTTGGGTAATCCTCATGTTTTAAGTTGGTTGCTAGAACTCCAGCCATTACATCTGCATTCCAGGCAGTAGCATGATGGAAAGGCTGTATTGGCTGTCTTTTGAGGAAATTTTCAATAAATTGACACATGACACTTGCACCTACATCCATTTGGCCATAACTTAGCTAGCAAAGAAGCCAGGAAATGTATTCTGATTTTTTTTTTATTTTAAAGTTTATTTAGTAATCTCTCGACCCATCGTGGGGCTCGAACCCATGACCCTGAGATCAAGAGTCACACGTTCTCCTGACTGAGCCAGGCTGGTGCCCCAAAATGTATTCTATTATTACAGGTAGCCAGGTGCCCAGTTATAATCTAGGGGTTCTGTTACTATGGATGAAGGACATAGTAGATAATGAGGGATAATTAGCAGTCTTAGTCTTAGGATCCTTGAAGAAATAAAGGAAGGATAACGTGCATTAAAAAAGAACAAAACAGTGGAATTTAAAATCTCTGCTCTTTGAAAGATATCATTAAGAGGATGAATAAAAAAGCCTTGGATGAGGAGAAAACATTTGTATATCATACATCTGATGATGGGCTGGATCCAAAATATATTTTTTAAAAACTCTCAAAACTCAGTAATAAGGAAAAGACAACCAATTTTAAAAATGAGCAAAGATTCAAATCAACTCTTCACCAGAGAAGATAGGCCACTGACAAGTAACTGCCCAAGAAGATGCTCGACATTAGTCACCAGAGAAATAAAGTTAAAGCCACATGAGATACTGCTTCATGACTATCAAAATGGCTAAATGCAAAAGACTGTCCATACCAAGTATTGGCAAGGATATGGACCAGCCGGTGGGTCCATAGGCTGTTGTTCGGGGAATGTAAAATGTTGCAACCACTTCGGAAAACAGTTTAGCAGTTTCTTAAAAATTATACATAATCCTACGGTGTGACCCAGCCATTCCACTACTAGGTATTTGCTTACAAGAGATATGTGTGTCTACAGAAAGACTTGTAACTGGATTCTCTTAGCGGATTTACTTGTAATTGCTAGAAACTAGACAGGACCCAAATATCCATCAATAAGTAGATAAAAAAGCAAATTGTGGCCCATGCACACCATGGAATACTGTACAAAGGAGTGAACTCTGATACTCACATCAGTGTGGACAGATCTCAGGATAATTGTGCTGAGCGCATGACTTCTATTTGATTTCATTTATATAAAATCCTAGAAAATGCAGAGTACTCTATAGTGACAAGTAGCAGCTCACTGGTTGCCTGTGGACTGGGGATGGGAGGTATGGAAAGAGACAGGTGTGGAGCGATTCTGGGGCACAAGGAAGCTTGGGGGTGATGGATATGTTTGTTTTCTTGATTGTGGCTACAGGTGTATTCAGTTGTCAGAATTTATCGGATGGCACATAATATTCCCATTATAGGTCAATAAAGCGGCTAGGAAAGGGAAAAGAAGGAAGGTGACATTGGGAATCAGAGAGTTCGAATGAAGAAAATATGGATATTAAGATTCTGGGAATAAGTATTCATTGCATTAAAAGTGCTCATTTAAAAAGGAAGGAAAAAGAAAGAAAGAATGTTAATATGTGGATAAATTTTCAACTGGACACAGCCAAAGAGAGAGTTAGTGAATCGGAAGAGAGTTCTGAGGAATATTCCCAGAGCACTGCCCAGAAAGAGAGAGAGAAAACAGAGAAAGGTAGGGGATAGACCTGGGGGATAGTCTCCAAATATGTTTAATAGAAATTCTACATGAAGAGACTGGAGAAAATGACTGAGATGCTGTACTCACAAACATCAGAGTTTTTCAGAATATTCCAGAATTGAAGAAGAGCTGGTCTTCTTCAAGTAATATGAATATTACTTAGTCTTCACCAAGTAATATGCTTGTAATGAGAATTTTAAGGAAGTCAGTCCTCCACTTTGGAACCACAGAGGGAAACTGCAGAAAATTCAAAATGAAGGGAAAGTCTTAAATCTTACCCTCACCAGCCTATCTGCAAAAGAACAACAGTAGGTTGCTGAACGGCCTATGGCAACCTTTTGGGCAATCTTCCACGGGCTGAAAGAAAATTAAACAGTCTGCCAAGAACTCCATACCCAGCTGAACTCTGATTCAAGAGTGATGAGGAAATCAGGACATTTTATAGATGAGAAGAGCCTAGGCCAGCCCTGCAGCCCTGGGCCATTTCAAGGTTGGGGAGAAGAGGAACCCTCTCACCTCTGCTCGATCATCCACTTCTGGCCTGTTTTTCAGTCTCTGCAGGGCTACTAGCAATGCTGCTCATCAGCCATGTTGCTGGGTCTTCCATTAGGACAGGAGAGGGGTTGGGATTCCTGGCCCTAGCTCAGTTTTCAGGCCTGTAGCATTAGGGGCATGGTAGCAGGAAGGCAAGAGGAAGGGAGGTGAGGTAGCAGAGGTGCCAGACCGCTCACCCTGGCTTGGGGAGGAGCCCAGGGACACGAGAACCTCCCTGGGGTGGCCCCTTCTAGACTCTCTCTCTGTCTTCCAGATTGTGGACAAGAATAACCGCTACAAGTCCATAGATGGGTCAGATGAGACTAAAGCCAACTGGATGAGGTGAGTCTTGCTTTCTGCTGATTTCCCGGGAGCCTTGCCCAAACTCTGGAAAGGAAGCCAAGGGAGCGTGCTAGGGCCTATGGAGTCTCCAGTGGTGGAGGCCTCTAGGGGCCCCAGGACTGCTGTTTGCAGGGTTTAGGATGTGTATAGCTCCGGGGGATCCTCTTGCTTCCCCAGCCTTCCATGAGGGGGCTCAGGAGGAGGCTTGTGGGTTACTGAGGGACGTGTAAAGTCTGCACATGCATCCCTGTGTCTGGAGTTCCCAGGGTCCCCAGCTCTGGGGGTGTCTCTCCCCTCCAAGGACTATGACCCCTCTTACAGTACAGGCTCCTGCTGTAGGGGAGCAGGACACCTTCCAGTGCAGCTGCCAGCAGTTGTTTACATGGCCCCCGTGGAAAAGGAGGCTTCTGGCACAGTCCCTCGCTCAGTCTTTGATGGTACTTGCTGCCCAGGCTTGAGTACTTTCAAGAGTGGTTTTGCTGTGGTGCAGCATTTGGGACAGAAGTTTGCACCAGAAGGATCCTTCCTGGCCAGCCAGAGGGAGCGGGAGACTGGCCCAGGGTTGCCCGGGGGTGGCTGGTCTGAGCCAGAAACAGAGGACCTGGCCCACAGCAGCCCTCCTGTGAGTTCTGAGCTACAGGCCTGCGCAGGGGGCCGGGGCCCTGCCCAGAGGGGTCAGGCTTGCACCAGTGCCTACTTGGAGCCCCTGTCTGGGCCCCAGGAGCCATGGCCGGGGGTTTGGATCTGGGTTGGGTGGGAAGGGAGGCCTTGGATGGCCGGGCCCAGGGACACTGTGGATCGGGCCCTCTGTCAGGCGTTGGTACAGTCCTGTGACCCATGGCTGCTGGGGGATACAGGAGAGGTTGTGCTGGGAGGGAGGGCGGTCAGGAACTTCCTCAGAGGGGGTTTGCTGTATTTAAACTCTGACACCTTCCAGGCCAAACAAGGAGAAGTTGGTTTGAGGTGGGGAGGCTGTGACGAGGTCTGCTTTCTCCTTCCTCTTGCTGCCCACCTGTGCTCCCTCCTGAGAGCTGTGGAGGGGGTGGGGGCGAGAGGGGCTGCGGTTTACACTCTTCAGAGGGCCCTAGGGTTTGTCCTCTTATTTGTCGGAGCCGCTGTTCTCACTGCCACTTAAGAGGAGCAGAAGCAGAGGTGCCCAGGGACGGGTGGGCCCCTGCCTTGTGGTGTAGGGATAGCACTCCCTCCCTCCAGCCCCATTTCCCATCATCCTGTCGGCCAGTGCCCTGCAAAAGGGGCTCTGAGAAGGCCATGGACATGCTCCTAACTGCCTTCTTCTCCCCAAACGCTGGGTGCTGGTCATCTCGGCACCTGCAATTCCCTGCTCGTTTGCAGAGCCGACCGTGTAACTGGGCTCCCTCGATGGACTGACCCTCCCGGTCCTCCCAGGACTCACCCCTTCCACCGTGGAAGCTGACTTTTCTGCTATGATTCTTGAATGAAGGCACGATGTGCTGTGAAGGGCCCAGATGCCAGAGGAGGGGGCCTTTGAGCTGGGCCCTCCAGAGGGCCAGGATTACATTTGAGGCACTGTGGCCAGAGACACAGAAGTGGGGACCAGACCCCCAGGCCTGGGCTTCTGTTCCCTGTTGCTCCCACCTGGCTCTAGGGGAGCAAAGGAGAGAGTGTCTCAGCACAGTCTGGCATCGGGGCCTTTCTGCACCGTTGCTTTGGAGGCTCTGGAAGCTTTACCGGCAGAGATGATTCTTCCATCCTTCCACCCATCTCTGATCTTGCACCATGGGGACAAGGCTTTACCACAACCCCAAAGAAAGACATCATCTGTACTAACTGAGCAATCACCTGACACCCCAGAGATTCTGACCTGTCGGGCTGAGGATGAGCTCATGCTATGGGTATTTCTAAAGCTCTCCATAGTGATTCTGATGGCTCGTGTTAAGAACCCCTACTGTATACTGACCTTCATGCTACGGTGCTAAAACTGAGGCTCAGAGCAGGGCAAGATCTTACTCAAGATCGTGCCATCAGGGACAGAGCCAGGACATGAACCCATCTCTGGACTCCTGGGCCAGTGTCCTTTCTGCTTGTCGGCCTGCACAAGGGCCCAGGCAAAAGCATGGCCTCCTGGGCTTTGATGTGGGGTGGGTTCTGCTACTACTACCTTGCTGGGATGGGGTCTGTCCCCATCCCATTCCATCCTATCTGCCAAACCCGATCTGATGCAAGATGGTGCCAGGGTAATCCCAGCTGGTGGGGCCCCCTCTCATTATGCGCTCAACCAGTAGGTTGGGGTTGGGTGTGTGGCTTGTTGCCATGGGGATGTCCCACTGGTGGTAGTTGGAGGGGAAAGTTAGTGCATCCTGGCAACCTGCCTTCCCCTTTCATGTGTAGCTTCCTTTTGTAATACCTCACCCCGGTGTGCACATAACCTTCACTTGTACAACTTAGGGTCTTGTGCATGATTGAATGGAGTTGGCTAGTTTTTTCAAACAATTAAGTGGTGGGTGGGGAAGAGAATGTGCATCAACGTAATGAGTGTTGACTGTATGGCCTCCCTCTGCCAGGTGCTCTGCATTCATGAAATCGGTGGTCTGAAACCAGGGACTGTTTGGCTTTGAGGCATGTTGAGTTGTCACAGGTCTGCGGGTGAATGCTACCGGTTTTTACCGGGCAGAAGCCGAGGATGCTGAGAAATACCCTACATGGCCCAGGATGCCCCTTCCCTCTCACAAAGAAGTTTCTAGCCCCAAATGCCAATCGTGGTGAGATTAAAAAACTCCACGAATTCCTCCTGGCAGCCCTGGGAGGTGGCTCTAGAAAGACCACCCTCATTGTATAGTGGGGGAGGCGGGTTTGTGCAGGACACTCAGTGTCTAGTTTCAGGTCTACCTGAGTGTGGCGCCCAGGCCCCTGTCACTGTGTTGGCCTGGTAATACAGCCCCAGCCTTCCTTCCTCCTGAGCTGTGGTGTTCTGGGGAGGTGAGAGCGCCGGGATCTTTGTGCTCCTAGCCTCTCGCCGCGGTTTTGGGAGCAGAGCACCCGGAGGAGTGACTCGGGCTCCGGGTTTCCACTCCGTACTTTGGGTTCCTCTCTTGGGTGGTTCTTGCGAAGATCTTAGGCAGGCAGCCCCTGGCTACTCTGTGCATATGGAAGCCAAGGTCACTCCTGGCCTGCATCAAAGCAGAACTTGTCTGTCCGTGGGTGCTCGTGGACCGCTCACGTTCTACCCGTGAGCCGCCAAAAGGCCACAGCAGCCCACCCCAAAAGGAGCTCCTCTGCCCAGTTGGAGGGGAGCCTACACACACCCAGAGGTGGGGACCTGGGGGGCACTTGGGAGCCAGGGAAGGAGCCGAAGAGAGCCACAGGGTACAGAATGAGTTTTCTGTGAGCACACCCTAATTACGGGCATCACCAGCGAGGCCACACACCAGGAAGCCCGCTGTAAATAGTCTCCCTGTTTAAATATTCTTCCTGCGAGCCATCTGTCCGGGCGATGGCCTGGTCCTCACCCCAATAAGGACCCTTTTTTCCTATTTAGGGCTTTAAAGCTTTTTCATCACTCTGCTTTCCCCTCCCTAGTAACAACCCCGAGGTCGGTGTAGTTGTTCAGACCCAGCCGGGGAAAGGGGCCGGGAGAGGCTGAGTGACCTGCCCTGGCTCTCCCAGCGGGCCTGGGGCTCAGGCAGGGCCGGACACCGAAGGCATCTAACTCGGGCCACGCTCCCACTCGCTCCGCCGCACCTCTCCTGCCCTCCTGCCCTCCGAGGAGTAGTGGAAGGGGCCGCTGGCTAGGAGGAGGGTGTAGTGGTGGTGAGCAGGCCAGGGTGCCCAGGTGCCTCCTGGCTCCCCAGCTGGGGGCCGGCAATTAGGAAGGAGGAGGACCACCCGCACTGACAGTCATTTACCCAATTGTGCTTTGTGGGATATTCAACCCAAGGAATGTGGCGCCCGTGGTCGAGCGCAGGAGGAAGCCCAAGTTCTCCAAGGAGGAGCTGGACATTCTGGTCACGGAGGTGACCCACCACGAAGCGGTTCTCTTTGGGAGGGAGACCATGCGGCTGTCCCATGCCGACAGGGACAAGATTTGGGAAGGCATAGCTCGGAAAGTCACCTCCGTCAGCCAGGTCCCCCGCTCCGTCAAGGAAATTAAGCACAGATGGGATGACCTGAAACGGAGGACCAAGGACAAGCTGGCCTTAATGCAGAAGTCCCTGTCGGGCCCCGGGGCTGGGGGCCAGGCCCCCACCATCGTGCTCACTGCCCATGAAAGGGCCATCGAGTCAACACTGCTCACAGCCCATTCCGGGCACAGCTTCCCCAGGGCCGAACTGGATGGCACCGACAGCCCCTCGACCAGCTGTGAGTACCACCTGCCTCCCCTCCCTGGGCTCTGGCTGCCTGCCCCCGGCCAACTCCTCCTCCTCCTCCCCCTGCCCCTGCCCCTCCGCCTCCTCCTAGGCCATCCCCCCTTCCCTCGTCTTCTCTCTTCTGTCCTTCTCTGGATGAGTCCAGTCTTCCCAGGCACCCTTCCCTCCTTCTCCTGCTCTGTCTTCCCCACCCCTTTCCGTTCATTCATTCTAGAATATTTCCTGAACTCTGTGCCAGGAGCTGTGCTGGGATCTGGGAAGACAGAGTTGTATATAAAACCTCCACTGGCCCTGCTCTGGGGTCCTCCCTAGACTCGTAGGAATACACGAACTTGAAGTCATCATACAAGGACAGTCATAGCGAAGGGATGAACACCAGAAGGGGTGAACACCAGAAGTCCTAAGAGCGGGCCGCCTTCCTGGGCGGATGACCCAGGCCACCTGTGCAGCGTCCCTTGGGCTCTGCAGGCACGAGGGCAGTGTGCAGGCTTAACGCTCCGCTCTTGCCCTGTTAAGTTCATAATAGTTTTTGAACCAGGTGCCCTGTATTCAAATTTCGCATTTGGCCCTGCCCTCTGAAGGCCAGGGGCCGAGCAACTGGCTCTCCACGGGGGCAGGGGAGGGCTCCCAGGAGTGAGAGGCGCAGGGTGAGTA